ACTATATTGCACATCAAATACTTCAAAGATAGACAATCTTTCCTACATGATGATACATCGAGTCATATTTTTATTGTGACGCGGCAATGACTGTTGCAGATTTAACGAGCCCATATCGCCAGTCTGTTTTCGTACGGGGAAATTAATTTAAAGGCATTCACGAAAACAAAAAATTGAAGGTATATCATAAAAAGCATAGAATACGGGAATGGCTTAAGTCGATACAAACTTACATAAAATTGCAGACTAAACCATGACCTAAAAGTAACCGAATAAAGGATTTCACCAAAAAATTTGACTATTAAATGTAATTCTAAAAGCAAGTATGTATACCAAAATAATAAAAAATCCAACAAGTAAATAAAATACAATGATTTTTTATATATATTTTTTTTTTAATATGCTGGCTGAACTATGAAGTTAACTTAAAAAAGAAAATCTTATAAATAAATCCACCCATGTAGCAACTATATAAATAAAATCAACGTCGGGATCTAAAGGATGAAGTTATCAAGAAATTGCTACTTTTCTTAAATGGGGGTCAGCTCCGGTTGTCGGGCTAAATAAAGAAGCCGGGGGAGGTCATTTGGCCTGAAACCTGGAACCAACCATAAACTGTAAACCAAACCTAGTCCCCTCTATTTCTACTATGGAGCTTCCTGAATTTTACAATATGTACAAATATAAAAAAAACCTGATAGTTCGACAAATAAAAATAAAATTTTACCAAATCAAACAATTTTTTTTTCAAATATTACTTGAATTTCTCAACAGTTTCCCACATATTGCGAATTCCAGCATACTAACTTAATTAAAACGAAGGTTCTGCTTGTTTGATAATGTTTTTTAATGTCAATTGGCCTTTAAATAAGAGTTTCCGTACAAAAACGTACCCTAGTACAAAACATATTGGGCAACTTAAATATTTTGTTTTTAAGTGAAAGTGTTACTTAGCACTATAGTATTAAAGATCATTATCACTAGTGCTATAACAAACGTAAATAATAAAAATAACAGAGATGGAAGAAAAGATACAGAGACAGATATAGAGAGAGGGTACGGAGAGAAAGAAAAAAGAGAGAGACAGACAGAAAGAGAGTTGTGTTCTCCTTGAATTTAAATCAGAAACCTAGCATGTAGTTCACCATTTTTATTATGTTCGTCCCTGAATGCAATTGCATCACTCAAACACACGTCTGCGTATGTATTGAATTTATTTTAGTGCGACATGTTTTAAGCACTTTCGCAAGCAAATATTCGCCCTAAAGGTCGGAATTATTGTACTGTGAATGGACCGCTGTTAACGTTAAATCTGCTGATTTACATTCAAGACAACAAACATTTCAAACGTGATTAGATTTTATCGATTGTCGTAAGGAAGTGAATTTAAAATTTCAACGCTTTCAAATACAAATTTATCCCATCGCTGTAGATTGGTAAAGGACCTAAATGACAATAAAACAACTAGTGTAGGTAGACAAGGGATTGCGTATTCCTCAACTGGTAGACTTTAACACAATATCTCAGAAAAATAAAATAAACAGAAAATTCATTAAGTTCAAATAGCGTCCGTAAGAAAGAACAATAAAGCAAGAAACGAAGTACAAAAATCGACTGATTTTTACGATCGCATACTAAAATCCTGTGTAACACTATTTCCTTATTGTTTGATGCATGAAAAATGCCAGTCTAATATCAAAAACTTGCCAGCCATTTTATGATAATGTGATTCATATCGCTATATCGCAGCAGACGTTACCCAACGTGATGACAAAAGTAGAACTTTACATTATAAAGTTATTTATATATAAAGTGAATTATGGTATCAACTGATTGTCTTATCTACAAATCCTTTACAAAAAAGGTACGATTGCCTCTATAAACAACGTACAATTAAAATATACTTTAAATTACAAGACTACGAATTAAACGATTTTTTTTAAATAAAAATATAAATAGCCTCGGCCCCATACTTGGGTAACAACAAAACACATTTTTAGTTTTTAATTTATATACAATTAACAAACAAGTGTAAGTAGGATAATATTGGACAAATATGATAAGAAATGTACCTTCTTTCTTTCTTCTTCGTAGTTTCGTATTTTAAAGACTACAATGGGTAGGGAGGGTCACTAATGAAAATACATTTTTTTAATCTATCTCGGGCAGCAGATGATTTTTTTTTTTTTAACGAGCGTTCGCAACAGCAGAGGTCGTATAAACCCTCAGAGTGCCGGTGTTTTGAAAAAATCCCATTTGTAAGTATGTCGGGTTCGAATGCAGGGCCGCTGGATTTGAACCCCAGACCATTAACTTACAGTGATTAGCACCGAGTCAACGCCTAAACCGTTGCGGCCACCGACACCCCCCAGGTGGTGAATATTAAAATAAGATATAAGGCAAAACAACTAAACCGTAAAAATTGTATGAGCATTAACAGAGAAATTAAGGTTCAATTTTTTTCTAGAAGGTAGGAAGGGGCTTAAAAAAAAGGCTTTTCGCTGTTTTTACAAAAGAATTCAAATTAGCAAATGGTTCTGAGGTTTTAAATGAAAAGATTGCGCGTTTTCAAAGAGCTAATCTTTCGATGAAATCCTGTGGTCACTCTCCTTTAGTACAGGCCTTAATAACAGGTGCGGAGTAAAAGGGAAAACAGCTTATATACTAAAGGGTGGGCCGTGATTGAAGGTGGTTTCAAATCGTGGTTCCCCGACGACCCCCTCCCCCAACAATGTGCAAATCAGTACAAGGCCCACTATGACGTCATTAAAGCTGTGATAGGGGGCAAAAGCTGTAAATTGCCTCACCAGAAGGGGTAAGTTCTGTTAATATATACCCCAGCTACAACAAGGCCGTTCTCCACACCCTTTTGTCCCAGTCGGTGTTTGTTCAATTGAGAGGACTGAATGCACACACAAAAAAATCATCGATCTTAGGGTAATCTCTCTTCCCTGTTAATCTGTTTTCAGACGAGTTTTGCCAACATCAATCATCATTGCCTGCGAAAGCAACAAAAACAGAACTGTATCTCTCCCCACCTAATAGCATAAAGAAGAATCCCAACGAAAAGTAGCAAAAACTGTTAACCCAAAATAGAAAATCAGATAACGTACTTGAAGCCATTTTTGGTAAATCAGATAAATAAGTAGACAACTAAAGTAAATTGTGAGATTTCCTCTTGGGGGCTGCGCAGTAGACCCTGTAGTTGGGTTGCTTCCGACTGACAGACTAAAGGCGGGTCCAGACGGGTGTAACGTGTAATGCAAGATTACGTGTAATTTAGAGTGAACAGTGTAGACGGCAAACGAATTCAACGCGAATCATGTAACGCGAATCTTGAAGAGGGGGCTGTTCCACTCAGTTGCTACGAACATGGTATAAACCAATAAGTTCAAGTGACTGTTCGTCACTCCACATCATGAACGTCCACACTACACAACTGCCACGAACGCCGTCCAAACGAGAACTGCGAGCGCCTTTGTGTTCGCACAAAAAACCGACACCCCGATGGATCCGGTCTAAAACAGCAAGCATAGACAAACAATCGGAAACGACTAGAAAACGTTTAATATTAGAATATATTTATGAGATTAGAAAGGTTTTTCATTTTCTTCGTGATGCTAATGCAAAATTTATAAGAACAGTTTATCATAAGTAAAAAGCGAATAGTCACAAAGTCACAGGAATACAAAGACAAGTGGAACTTTTACGTTGTTACAAGTCCTAGAGCATTATAATGTTCATCATCAGTCAAATATATCTCATTTGGATCTTTTTTTATATAATTTATCGGTCTCAATTCTAGCCTCAAATATGACTTTTCAGAGCGGCCCATCTTCAATGCGAATCTGAAGAAAGATGCTTACCTCAACCTGTACCCATGACATGATATTTTATTATGGATATTTGCACCAAAGCAATGTTGCTCAACGTGAGGAAAGATTTATGTTTTGATAGATATAATATGGTAGTAACCAGTTCTGTAATAACAATACGAAAGTGAAATTAGCTGAAATTAAAGAAGCTAAGAATTTTGTCTCGAGATGTTTATATTCCTGGCTTGGTATTTTCTGATGTATGTTCTGCAAACGTACAATAACCGTAACATTCCAATACTAAGGCAACATGGTTCAACCGGAAGTTTGACAAAACTGAATTTTTGGTGGAGCTATTTGGATGTTTTATTGTCACTACAACGCGAAGGTGAAATTCGCTGAAGTTAAATTAAAACTTTTGCCTCAGCCTACTTATATCCCAGAAGTGGAGTCATCTGTCTAAGGTTCTTTTTATATTCTATATCACACTATTTAAAATAAACTACGATAGTTTAGTTAAAAACTAAAATGTCGTCACCATTATAAGGCAGAAAATAAAAGATTACTTCTCACCGAGATGGGGTTGTTTATTCAATAAATCCAAAAGTATTGAATTTAAATATAATAAATTTAATAGCTCGTAAAACATTGAACTCGACAGAGAGAAACTTCCAAGGGACCCGTGAAACATTCGCGGATGCCACAACTTTTCTTTAAATTAAACCAATAGTAAACTTTCCGATCAGCTCCATGCACAGCCTACTCCAGGGGTCGAGAAAGAACAAACAACAAAGTCATTCTGCTTCCCATTCGTTTCTAGATCCAGGTTTTTAATTAAAGATAAGGCGTCGAAGCACTAAAAAAAAGTTTTCGCCTGATCCAAGTATGAAGTTTGCGTCATAGAGCGCAAAATCGACATAAAGTAGGTAAGAATTATAACTTAACTGCTAAGGATAGAAAAGAAAGTAGAAACTTGTTTTACCCGTCGAGATCTGCGACCAAACTATTCATTTAATTTATTTTAATGATTAACGAGTCGCAAGGCTATACACAATTTTTTTAAATGGACATTTTATCATTTTAAACGCAGTCGGAACAAATATTGAGAATAAATGTCATGAAATAAAATAGTAATGACCCCAAACTTTGAACTTTATTAAACTAACAAATAGTGTAAATATTTACCTTGAGTGGACGTGTTATAGTTATAGTCTCGATGGTTGTTGTAGGAGCCATCTTGTCTTCAGGAGGTCTCAACGAGCTAAAAACAAGTGAATTTTAAACAATGTTCATACAGTATATTGCAGATTATCATTAATTAATAACTAAATGTTTTTAAGCAAAAAAAAATGTATTGTGAGATTTCGCCTTTTCATTTTGGTCTGCATATCCTCGTCAGATGCGTTGCGTAATTGCCCGATTTTCAAACCATAGAAGCAATTACAAAAAAATAGACTTCCTTAAATTTTTATTTTTATTTCTTTAACTTAAGTTGTAATTGTACCAATACAAGGGTTTCAGACCTTTAGATATGGCGTGGGAAAGCCACAGCTTTTTGGTTAAAAAATACATCGTTTCACTTTTAAAAAAATCTAATTATAACCTAGCCAACTTGAAAAGCTCTGAAATTTATTAACGATTTGAAATTTTACAATTTTTTTGCTATTGCACTTTCTAAAAACTAGCCAAAGCTTTTAATCTTTAAGAATCTGTTTGATCAATTTACATTCAAAGGGTTATGAGAGGAACGTCTCATTATACTGAGAGGTTTTCAAAGTCCAGTTGAAATCCCGACCGGCCAATAAACAAAGTTAAGAACGTGATCCAATTGAGAAAATTTTTTTCTAAAGCTTTGTTAATCAGCAAGGTTGAAAAGCCAGTGGCTGGATACAGAAACCTGTTTACACGCGCTACTTAGGCTGAAAAATTGTTTGTTTTTTCGTAAGAAATGAATTTCCTTTAATCTAGGCATAATAATTTCTAACCGAACAGTACGTTTATGATAAAGACAATGTGTGCCCCTCTTAGATCCGAGTGTTCGAACAATACTTTATCACACAACCAATCTTTTCAACAACACATTAATTACAAGAACGCCAGTTCCTCCAAGAACCATTAGGACAGAAACTAGAATTATAACCGAGCCCCAAGTTGATATTGACATTGTCGAAGTTCTGGATCTCCCTGCCAAAGATGGCACATCCCAGATCACCCTTGCAATAAGACCAAGACCCTTGTTTAATTAACTGTGATTCAATTTGTTACTGAATAAACACGCTTTGCCCAGGTCACAAATGAGATTAAACGAAGCGAACACAATAATTGGTGAAAAATAAAACATGAATATATGTTTTTAAATTAATCATGAAATTAATGAGGTAATTAATACTATCTTTATTCTAAGTCTATGTAGTAGAGAAACATGTAGAATCTTTTTCATACAAATTATGTTGCTCACATTTATAAATAGTTTTTTCTTTATTTGTAAGACATCCCTTTAATATTGCTTACGTTGAATGTAAAATTTTAAATTTAAAGTATTAAAAAATCACATGAAATCTATAGTGTAATATACATTCAAATACTTTGCTCATATCAACTTGTTTACGTAGGTGTATCAACTTCTAAAATTCACCCATTTAATTCGGAAACTATTAACTTTAGCAAAAAAAATTGTCTTATACAAATCCCAAATTAATTTTTGCTAGGAATCACGTGATCGTAACATATTTAACATGACTTGACAACTTTGTTATTTTAAATGAGAATACCACATTTGTATTGTACAATTCGATTCTAGAGCTTATTTTATGCCACTTTTACTGAAAGAAAAATGTTGATAGGATCGATCATTTCTGAGTTATGCCCGTTACCCAAAGCCGAATTGCATCTCAAGAAGGATATGTGAATTTGGTCTGTGCTTTATTGTGAACTTCTTCCACCCAATCAAACCGTTTTTTCTTCTAGTGTACATTTCACACAATTGGGGCGATTAATGTCAGCGATTAAGTCAGCAATTGACCAAAACCCACCAGCATTGGTTAATCGAAAGTAGATTGCTTTCCAGAATAAAATGGCCCACGTGTCTTTAATTTACTTCAGGACTGCAGAAAACACATCGAAGAGTTTTCATCGATCAAAGTATTGAGAAGTGCTGAGAGTGATTATAAAATTACACGGAAGATGGCAAATAGTTGTGAAACAAAATAGTTCATATAATGTTGATCTATACCACGCCCAATTTTAACTCCCTAAAAAAGCAGTTTTCACGGCAGAGTTTGTTGCAATAAAAGAGGATTGCCACACAATACTATCACTTTAAGCAGTGATAAATTCAGTAGGATCCGCCGCGATTATACGGACTAATGGACATGCCGGGGTTTAGGGGAACGAAAAAGATGATTACCTAGCAAAAGCAGGGACAAATATCGATCGCCTATTAACGGCATCGGATATCATATCCCAAATTAAAAAAGGTTCATTAAAGGAGGTTCACTACTCCTGGAAGGAAATCTATGAAGTAATGAAGTATTACGGTAAAAAGGAAAATTCTATGGAAGCATCCAACCCCATAAGAGCGTGGTATAACTCTTACAAAGAAAAAATAATACTATATGACCATACCGCCTAAGATGTAACCATCATCGCTTAGGACCTCACCGAAGCAGACTTAGGATCGAGTACTTTTACCATCGATGTGAGACAGGAGCTACTGAGGACTCTAATCATTTCGTCTTTTTGGAACGCCCCTTGCTGAAAAACGGTCGTCTGGATATTTGGAAAGCTGCGGAGGATGACAACGTGGTGCTACCTGCCAACATTCAGGGTATCCTTCAACACCCGTCAACATATGGGCAAATACATAAATTTACTGTAATAAATTCCTTAGACATATAACGTAACTATAATTTTGTAATTTCTTAAGTGGTATTGTTTTATGAGGATACTATTGATGTCTAAAGAGTTTAAGGGGTAACAACAATAATGGGCCTCTTAAAAACGCATTCTAAAATAAGTACCAATGGGGAAGTACGATGAAAGAATCATTTTTCGGACGGGAAAACGATGATAGTCCAATAATAATGCAATATATTGGTTTGTAAAGTGCGACGGGAATATCAATTTCATCAGCCAATATTAAACTGACTGAAGAGTGGAGAGACGTAATAAGAAATAACAGACTACGCCAATTGCGATCAGACTTTATTCCATTTGTATATCTTCCTTGATCGAACAGTAGCTATGCAATGCCTAAAAATTCTGCGAGACAATGTTGTGTGACAACTTCCAAAACAAGGTAAGAAAAAACGGAAGCCACCACCAAGATGACACTTTACAAACCCTAATTAAGTTCACGTCTACAAAGTACAAAGACGTAAGCACATGTATTAACTTGATTCCAATCCGAACCTATCCGAATCTCCAACCAATCCGAAGACTGTCAATACCTCACTCCACACAACGGCTAGTACTTCTGCACATCCTCCACAAGCCATTTCCTTGCATTATGATGTGGATAATTTTTTATTCTTAGCCTTTTAAATACAAACAAAAGACTTAATTTTGTATCAACTCCCACCATTTATTTTAATACCCTTATACTGCATTATCATTTTTTCAATAATACCGTACATATCCTCATCTGTGCTACCATTTTTACCACTATGAAACATGTGGGACCTAATAGTTACCATGAAATGGTACAAGACTAAAAAATTTGATTTCTGTGACCCGACTTCATTTGGAAGTTAAATGTTTTCGTAAGTTAAGTAATTTCTGTCAAGACAGGAGGGCTTAACGTCGAACTGTGCCCGATGGGTATTTCGAACGAGGAGTCAAACCACTATGCGCCATTCAAACTGAACCACCAGCTTGGCAAATACGAGTCTGACGCCCTGATTTTCTTCTATTTGCTTTACTGATATTCTTTATTTGCAAAACGTTTTAGTTACAATTAATAAACCCCAAGTTGAGAGGAAATGTTTCACTTTTTTTTAACAATCATACGAATCTTATATACGTATATACTGTTCTTATTATTATTTTTTTTTTTTTTTTTTTTTTAGTTTAAGTTATTCATTTTACAACAAAAAATGACGAACGACATATAATAAATATGTTAAATTTTCAAATTTTCCTTAATCCATTGGCTTATCACAGCGGAGGCTCTATTGTAAACCTTTAATGAAAACAACGTTAAGCTGGGGTGATAAAGATCATAATTAAATGGATATTTTTTGTTAAATAAATATCAATACTATCAACATATTAAACATACACAATGGTATTTTTAAAAATGCGTCAATCAGAAAGCAATGTTTTTTCCTTAAGTTATACTTGTAATTTACAACCTCTAATTCCCTACGTATTTACCTAGTAATGGTTTTCTTTGGAATTATGTTTACTTGTAAAATCCGACGTGAAATGTGACCGCAATTGAAACAAACTCCTTCTGTAAAGTTTATTTTTCACTAATGAGTGCAGCTTTAAGTTTGCAAAGTTGGAAAATTTTTAGTCAGGAACTAAGAAAAATATGCGGTATTAAGTACGCTAGTGAGTGGGTGTGCCAGAGGTGGCTTGCCAACTTTACAATATGAGATTTTTGTCGGAAGGCAAAGAAAAAAAGGAACTCCTTCAACCGGATTAAAAGATTTAAACGAAAATAATCCTAGTTAAAGGGTTAAAAAAACAACGAACAATTTGAACCTTCAGTAGTACAGCAGTTAAGCGACAGAAATTTTAAAACTAACATGTTTATTCCAAATAGACTTACAAGGAAGACTTCTACAATTTCAAGTTTGATTTAGACTTAAGACTATTAACCATCCCTAACATTGACTTAGACTTAAGACTACTACCGAAAAACAATTTTACACTTCCTCGTGACAACAAATTGACTTTTCCATACTGTCTATGCCCCTACGAATATCCTAATCCCATCTATCTTCATCTATTCATTACATTATATTACATGCATCATTACATTATATACATACATACGAAACATTCATTTCGTGCAAACATACAATATTTGTACACTATTTGGACTTGTTGATTAATGTTAATTATATTCTGTATTATTATCCTGTCAGAATGCCACCATAGGCCTAACCAAATTCAATTAAAAACCTATAAAAATCAATGTATATTACGTATTTAACGAAAGTCGAAGATACCCTCGTTGAAGGGTAATCAAGGAAAATTCTGACTTGTTCTTTCCCGTATTAAATCATGTAAGACCCCTCTTTTATGTCCAATTGT